AAGTTGTGGTGTCTCAGCAGCATACAACAACAACAACAACAGCAACAACAACAACAAGAACAAGAACAACAACCACGGCAACCACAACAACAACAACAACAACAGCAACAGCAACAACAACAACACCACCACCACCACCACCAACAATAACAAGAACAACAACAACAACAACAACAACAACAACAACAACAGCAACAGCAACAGCAACAGCAACAACAACAACACCACCACCACCACCAACAATAACAAGAACAATAACAAGAACAAGAACAACAACATCAGCAACAGCAACAGCAACAGCAACAGCAACAGCAACAGCAACAGCAACAGCAGCAGCAACAGCAACAGCAGCAGCAACAGCAACAACATCCAGACTAATGCGATCAGCACCAACAACAACCACCACCACCACCACCAGCAGCAGCAGCAGAAACACCGGCAACAGCAGCAACAACAACAACACCACCAGCAACGACAACAATAGCAAGAGCAAGAGCAAGAGCAAGAGCAAGAGCAAGAGCAAGAGCAAGAGCAAGAGCAAGAACCACAATCACAACCACAACCAAAATCCACCACTACGCTACGACTACACCAACGACCAGGACGACTACGTATGCTAGTGCTACAGCCACGATGCCATCATCGCAATAATCTTCCAAGCTGCAGTGGCGGCAATAAGTTACCAAGAGGAGCAAGGGCGCTATGCTGTTAGATCGCTGCTTCTCCTAAACCCTAAACCCTATAAACCCTAAAACCCTAAACCCTAAACCCTATACCCTAAACCAGTCGAAGGGCACTGTTGTTGTGGAGTCCGTGGATGTGGCAGCCGTCGACTCAGTGGTCGTTGTTGTGGTCGTTGTGGTTGTTGTCGTAGAGCCGGTAGTGGTCGGCGAGCTGCCTGATGTAGGGGGATTACGATTAGAATAGGGGTTTGGGGGCTCCTTATTTTTATTTATACCAAACCCTAGTCTAAGTATTAAGGCCCATATATTGTGCATCTTGAGGTGCCAAGTTCAGGGGATTTGGGCTGAGGCTTCTTTTGGGGCGAGATCATCAGTTTTTTTTCGAGTCTGGTGGGCTTAGGAGTATTTTAGTCTTCTGGAATTTGAGGCATTCAACCACAACTCCAAGGTCTGTGATCCACGAAAAAAAAGGGTTTTCGGAATACTGAGACATGTGACATGTCCTCTGGCAACATGGTACATGGGCAGACACAAGACATGTAATGCTCATCACTGCGGAGCAGCAAAAAAACTTAAATTCCAGAGCTGCTGCACCCCAAACCCTAAACCCGATACACCCTGAACCTAAATCCCTAAACCCCAAAAACCCTAAACCCTATATAATAAGCACGGGATGCACAGACAAGTTTCGACCCGGGGGCAACCTCCAGTCGAGAGGACAAGCAAGGAATGATAGGGTTGAGGTTTAGTGGGGTTTAGGGTTTAGAGTTTAGGGTTTAGGGCTTTGGGTTTGGGGATTGTATAATTTAATACCCCAACGGCCTGTTCCAACCATGAAGGAACCTTTTTACCCCCTCTCAATGCCATCATCAAGTTCAAAACCCCAAAACGCGGCCCCCCCCAATCCTAACACCTAAAACCCTAAAACTGAAACCCTAAACCCTAAAACCCTGAACGCTAAAACCCTAAACCCTACGCCCTAAACTCAAAAACCCTAAACCCGAAAACCCTAAACTCAAAAACCCTAAACCCGAAAACCCTAAACTCAAAAACCCTAAACCCGAAAACCCTAAACTCAAAAACCCTAAGCCCGAAAACCCTAAACCGCCTAAACCCCTAAACCCCTAAACCCCGAAACCCCTAAACCCCTACACCCCAAACCCTGAAGCCCCAACTCCGAAGAGCCTCTCAGATGTCAGCCGAGGCCTGTTGCTGCCCTCCTCGGCGCTTG